CTCCCCCCTACCCCACCAACTCACCCCACCCCCCATCCCCACACAGCATTCTCGCTCCCAGACAAGGCGACCCACCTGTGGAGATGGAGTCACAGCCATGGTCGAAAAGCTCGCCCAGCGGGGAGCTCGACTTGGTCCGCCGGGCCTGCTTCCCATCGATGGCGTCGAGGGTCTGGTAGACAAACAGCCCGACACCGCTGAGGAAGTACGCCCAGCGCGGAGCCTGAAAGGTGAAAAAAAAAATGGTGAAATGGTTACGGTATTTAGTTTAGTTTTAGAGCAAAGATTCTCTACTACACAATCTTTGGTTTTAGTTAGGTTTTTTGGGGTTGTTTTTTTAGGAGAGGTTTTACGGCGCTCGCAACTGCATAAGATCATATGAGCGCCAGGAGATTAGATGTGTTACAATAGAGTAACAAACATAAAAAAGAAGATGGGGAGATAAGGACGACAGATGTTTGATAGGAAAGAAGAAGCAAACCACAACAGGGCACCCGCCAACCACCCACAGTAAGGTTTTACGGAACTCCCAACTGCATAAGGTCATGTGAGCGCCAACAGGGGGATGTCAACAGAGAAGTCCAAACGGGGAATCAGGCTTACTCTGCTCACCTCTCTTGCCTCAACAACACAAAGTCCGCTTCGACTATCAAAGCACCCCGGATAAAGCATGCAGTTCACGAGAAAGTGACAAAAAAACAAAAGAAGTAGAGGAGAAATGAGGATAGCAAGGACGAGGAAAGAAAAAGCAGCAGTTCCCCCTATGTTTTGGCACAGTATGAGCATGACATTGATAAATCCAATCAAGTTAAAACCCTAAACATCACATGTAAAAAGGCAGAGAGAGTGTGTGTCTGGGGGTGGAAGGGGGCGGGGAGAGGGGGGTTTGCTCCTTTTCCCCCATCAAACACCTATCAAGACACCCCCCCCAGTTCAATGTCACTGACTGGAGTATCTTTAGGCCATTACCAAAGGGAGGATATTAACATGTTTGTATGCACAGTAGAATTGTAAATGGGCTGATAATAACAAAGGGGGGAACTGCTGCCTTTTCTTTACTCATCCATCCTTACTATCGTCATTTTTCTCTACTTTAAACTCTCTTGTGAACTGCTATTTCCGGGGTACCTTGAAAGTCGAAGCAGACTTTGTGCTGTTGAGGCTGGAGAGGTGAGCAGAGTAAGCCTGATTCCCTGTTTTGACTTCTCTGTTGACATCCACCCCTTGGCGCTCATATGACTCTAGGCAGTAGCGTATCTCTCTCTCTCTCTCTCTCTCTCTC